TTTGTACTGCAGTATTTATGTAAATTAACAACATTTAATGCGCCGCCTATGAGTAAAACGACAATTTCACCGCAGATTTTTTCCCTGCAAGCAAAAATTAATATTCACCAACTAAAATCCAGAAATCCAATGTATATATAAGATCCGACGGTTAACTAACCGGCCGATAAAATTCGACAAAGCCCGTTTAGCACCGTGGAGGGTGTGTGTGTGTTGGGGGAGGGAATGTAACACCCCCCCCCCCCCCCCCCCCCCCTCGTATTCATCATGGACTCGGCAAATGTCTGCTAGAACATGGCAAATTGTTCTCGGTTTTATCGGCAAATGGTGATAGTTATAGCAAATTTTGCTAGTAAATTTAGTAAAATTGCGGCAAAGTTAACAAATGGCAATATGTCTGGAAATATTTTCGTATTTCAGAAAACTGAATTTCGCTACGACCATGAGCGTAGTCCGCGTCTTCACTACAGTTCCAAACATTTAGTGCCTGTTGCAAACGTCACTTATTTTTCATGTATGTGCACTGTACTATCAAAAATACCTTACAAGGACATTAAATACAATTTAGGTGCCTGCAGCATTTTTACGAATGCCTTGAACACGTTTAATTTGTTATTGGTAATTGCTCCTTGGTAATTGCAACGTACGCCCGCGTGACCACAGTTAATGTAACTTCCCACTCCACTAAGGCTGCGTGTAAATAACGATGACTCATAGCCTGTACAACCAACATTGTCAAACCAAATCTGTCCAATCCCTTGACCAAAATTAGCACTCCCGTAAGCAGCCTCAGCTGCTGGAAAACCAAGCTGTCTGCAGACAACACCAGCATCTCTGATGTCCCAAAAATGATCATAAACTGATCCCCATATACCATTACAGTAAAACTCCACTCGTCGTTCACTTTGTGAGTGGCCAACAAGTCGTACGGATAAAATTTAAAAAAAATGTTAATAATTATATTATATCATGCATACAGCAGTTAATAACACCTACCTAGAAAATACATGCATGCAGCAACTCCTCGCCTTTCTTAACAGATGAAGTATAAAAACGACTCCACATAAAGTTTTAAGACCATTATAAACAAACATTAAAACACAACTGATGCCCTAGCTTTATAATGAACGATATAAACATTCACTGCAATTTCATGCATGCCAGCTTGCATTAAAGTCAATTATCGAGTTACAACAATGGCTTAAAAATTTCGCAGATATGAGTAAAACCGACAACACAAAGCAAGTACGGCATGGAATTTTACTACTGAAATATTTACACTTACCCAAACCGGCTTAACAACGATTATATTACCAAAGATATCAACATCAAAACATCAAAACAATTATTATACAAACTTTGTTTCACGGTTGAACAGCCAGTAATTCATAAAACTGCAGGCTTATTTCCAGTTAAAATCGAGAAAAAAAAACCGTGTTGTACTTTTGTAAACTGTTTAACGAAATTTAGAACAAATAAATGCTGTAAAACAGCAAAATACGTCCATTCAAAATGAAAAACAATTACTTCGACAGAGTATGTGCTCGCGCATACGCATAACGTCGAAAACCGTCCATGACATAAACAAAATGGACGACAACTTTGTCCTCAGTTTGCACTCCGCTATGTTTTCACAAACCCGGGTATAATTCAGGGGTGGTTCGTGACTTTTTCGTACGTTAGTCAATTTTATCAGATATACAATCTAGTTGTACGAGCGGCGAAGGAGCGATGCACCTAGGGGGTCTGGTGGCATTCTTCCCCAGAAAAGTTTTAATTTTTGAGAGAGCAGCAGAATTCTGAGAGCAGCTTCAACACAAAATTAACCTCATGAAAAGGGAGACAATTATAGCAATTTTCAGTCTCACTGACTCTCACAACTCGCTTCTTATGGAAAACTAAAGGAAAAGTACTTGCAGAGATACGATCATTGTGGAAAATGTTTCATTTTATCGAATTATTGTTTGCTAGTGTTATGTTTAACTAAATCATGACGGTACTACGCTAATTTATGTTGCCTAATAACCTTGTTGAATCATTGACCACTTGACTAGTGTCATATTACTGAAATAGACATATATTAATAATAAGGGACTGCTCATTATTTATTGTACATGCAGGGGGAGACTGAGGAGAACCTTTACAGTTATAATATTTTTTCGTTGCCCCCCTCTTAAGACAAGTAAAATTTTCAAAGCCCCTCCCCCCAACAGGCAAAACAAGAACATAAATTTTGATCGCCCCCCCCCCCCTAGCTCCGTTTATTTTTATTTAGAGAAACAAAAACTCTAACATGTTTCGCTCGCTACTCTGGTTTAAATAAATGATTACAAAGCCCAGTCGAATTGTAATCAAGACCCAACGTTTCGACACTCCAGTCTAGTGTCTTCATCAGGGGTGATCTACAACTGCGATCGTGGCTTCTTAAATACCCAAGGTATGACGTCACCTGCCAAGAAGATGCATATATTCCTCTGGCAAATAGGCGCCGTCATCCCTATTCAAAGCATGATGACTCTTAATTATATGCCACGCTTCTAGGCAAAGTCTTTGACCATAGCGATTGTTTGTGGTAATTACTTTAGAGTTTTCCCACGCAATCTCGTGTTTGGTGTAACATACATGTTCGGCTAAAGCTGATTTTCCCTTGTTTATAAAAACTCTAACTCTTACTGTTGTGTATTTGCTTTCTATTAAATAGCTATATTATATTTCGTGTATAACTCAACAAGAAGCACTCATCTCGAACACATGGTGGATGCGCGCGCATCCTAATAACATAGGTAACCCATAACATCTCCTCCCTACTAAAAATTGTTCAGTCAATATCCAGTCTTTGCTGCACATAACATTAACATTAAAGTCATAATTAACAGTCTTTGCTGTATATCTATATACTGTAAATATACGTTATAACCCCTACATCTGTCCGTAACACTGCTACTTTAGAGATCAAGTCTCACAGGTGGTTTCCTCACTCTTTCTGGATATCTTCGTTCGCTCGTTGTCGCCAGAGACATTGATGTCTCTGTAGTGCTCTCATTTACAAGTTCGTGGGTGCTGGAGCCCTGTTGCACTTGCAAGTCTGCTGCTACTATTGGCAACGTCTGTTGGATACAACCTTGATGAACTGTAAGTTCACTCTGTCGGTCATGGTAGGGCTTGTCTCCCTCGAAACGTGCTGACCAACCTTTAACTATTGAATCATAAACTCTGGCTAATATGGGATCACGATTTGTCTCTTTAGCTACCGATTCACTGGTGACTGGGAGAAT